CTCTTCCTTGGTTGAAGTTACCACGGCCTCTTCCACTAGAACCTCCTCTTCCTCTTCCACGACCTCTACCAGATCCTCCACCTCTTTGATTAGTGCCAGTCACAGTAAGGGTGACTTGACTCTTCAAAGCTTCTTCTGCTAGTGGTTCCGATTTTGACGCAATCCTGTTAATATGACTTTCTACCATACCTTTCAGCTCTGCAATTGATAAGAGCTCGGTTTTGTGTGACTCTGTTATCGAAGCCACCACATGGTCATACTTCATCGGCATAGTTCGAAGAACTTTTTCAACCACTGCACCATCTTCAATCGTATCTCCATATAGCCTCATCTTATTCACCATATCAATAAGACGAGTGAAATACGCATCTACTGTTTCTGTAGAGGTCATCTCACAATTATCGTACAACCTTCTCAACGACTGCAACTTAGACTTCTGTGCCCGATCGACTCCTTTGTTTGACACCTTTAAGATGTCCCAAGCTTGTTTTGCTGTTTGAGCACGAGCTAATTGCCCAAAAATGGAATAATGAACACCTTGGTGAATCTGACCCAAGGCCAATTTATCTCGCCGTATAGCGGCTGCATCAGCTCCTTCGGGTAGACCGGGATCAACAAAGCTCCAAAGATTTTGAGCTTGCAAATGTGTGGACATCATAATTTGCCAATAATTGTAATCGAGTTTCCCGTCCAATTTGGGACCCCTCCATACAATATTGAAATTTGCAGCCATATTTCACTACGGAAAATATCTCGGGTTTGAAAGGTTGACTGGCTCTGATACCAAATGTTAGATATATTAAATATAATATATCTATATTATATATATATAAATAAATATTATATATGTATATATATATATATATATATATATATAATTGAGAAGAGAGAGAGAGAGAGAGGAATGAATAACTAATTGAATTGATGATTAAAATGATAGAATACATAACCTATTTATAGTAAAAGCTAATGAAATGAATTCCTAAAATTATGGCCATGTAACACCCCATGACTCCATGTACTACCTCACACTATGCCCATGTAATACCATGCTGCCATCACACGGCTAAACTAATCCTAAGCATGGCCACATACTACTTTAATTTCTAACAACTAATTACTACCTACTTGGTTTAACAATTATAATAATAATATTATTATAACATTAGTAATTATTTTATACACCTTTGTGAAAACTGAAGTAATATCTATATACTATACCTGAGTAGTGGAGTAATTTTGTGATCAAGTTATATAAAAGAGTTGTATATATCACTTGTACTTTATAACAAATATAAAAAAATTTCTCGTTGGTTGTAGGGAAAAGAGTATATTAGAAGCATTACATCACCCTTGAACCAAGTCTATTCAACTCTCACCCTCCCACCCCACTACACCGCTTAATAACTGTTAGGATCAAGCGTTGCATTGTTAGTAATACTAATATTTCATGTTTATATTATATGCTTTAAAGTTAATGGTTGTAATGTAGTCAAATAGTCCTAGCCTGAATAACAAGAGAGTCAATGATTCTCTCTCTGTAATCTGATCAATCAATTCCATTTGAATTTGAATTACATCGTATCATCTGGTATCAGTTGCGATAGGACTGCGATCCCTTTTCCGCTTCCTCTCTCTCTCGAAACAAACTACGATGTCTTCTCATTCATATGAGCGTACCATAACCACCGCCACTCCCACTGTTCCGGCGAACCCCAACCCCCTTTCAGCCGCACACCATTTTGTGTCCATGAAGCTCACCACGCGGAATTACCTCTTCCGGAGGACTCAACTACTCCTCCCATTCCTCCGTGGCCAAGGTCTTCTGGGGTACATCGACGGCAGCCTTCCGTGCCCACCGGAGACTGTCACTGTCACCTCGGCCTCCGGTGACTCCACGGCAACGACAACCACCACGACAGCAAATCCCGCTCATACCGCCTGGGTCCATCAGGACCAGTTGATTCTATCTTTGCTAATCTCGTCCTTCTCGGATGAGGTTATGCATCATGCCCTTGGCCGGCACACCGCCAGAGAGGTATGGGAGTCCGTCACCTCGGCGTTGGTGTCAACCACACGAGCTCGCTACCTAAGCCTGCTCGGTCAGTTCCAAACGTTGCGCCAAGGAAGCAGTTTGCCGGCAAAATATCTCAGCAACGCACAGACGATCGTTGAAGCTCTCGCACTTGCATCAACCAGTCTGGTTCCAATACTACTTGTTAGGACGATCAGACGCTTACCACTTACATCAAAAGCTATAGCTAGATCGAAGGCGCAAATTCTAATATAGTTTTTAAAAACTAAAATTATATATATAATAATAAGGAGTATTATCTAAATATTATGAAAAATCATTAACTAAACTAGACATAAAAATGAAACGTGGAATTAAAGAAAATAAGTCATGAAAAAAAAATTGTTTGACTAATAAGTACCGAACATGAATAGTAAAATGAACAAATAGAGTAAAAAGAATTAGTAAAAAAAATAACGAAAATTTTATATGAAAACTACCAAAAAAGTAATTAGTAAATAATATTAAAGCTAATATTATCGTATAAAAATATCCAATATGCATAAAATATTTTTTAAAAAAATGATGTATAAACAATATTATCTAATAATGTTTTCTTGTTATCAAATTATATATAAAAAATTTAGATTAAAATGAAAAATTACAAAATTAGTAAATAATATTAAAAACAATATCTAATTATTTAAAAAATCTAGTATATATAAACTATAATTTGTTTAGAAAATTATATATGCATATTATTCTTTGAAAATCTTTCAGAATAATATGAAAACTAAAAAAAAAAATAATAATATAATTAAAGGCAATTAAATTAGACATAATAGTAGTAAATTATAAATCAATTTCAAAGAATTAGATCTAATATATAGTACAGTAATTAATTACAAATTAATTTCAATAACAGTAATAGTAATAGTAATTGTAATAGTAATAATGATATTATTATTTTTATTTTTATAATTATAATAATAATTATTATTAATATTACTTGAAAATTCATATATTATGTAAATTGTGGAGTTTATCTTTTATGCTTGGATGAGTTAGTTTTCTGGGGCTATTTTATCAAATTTAATTTAAGTGTTATGTGCATGAGTATTTATTTACAAATAATAATGCTTAAATTTATTAAGTTTTGATGCAAGTTGTTTTATAATATTTACTTTACCAAAAAAAAAAAAAAAAAAAAAAAGTAGACATTTTTGTTTAAGATGACCTGATATTTTTTGTAATAGTTTTAACTAACCATTGTTTCTTGAAATTGAAAGAGCCGGGAAATCTTCTTGTTCCATGTTGGAGGGTAATATACATTCTCCCTTGTTGAACTTACTGTCCATTATCTCCTTACCCTTCTAATAACATTCCATTTCCTCCCATCCAAACAAAGTTACATTGATTTTATTCTCTGGTGTTAGCTTAATGGAGAATCGCAAGAGTCCTGCAGGAGGAAATGATGATGAAGATCGTCGTCCAGAGAAAAAAGGTTATGATCTTTCTGCTTCTTGCCTGTTTTCTTGGAGAAAAATAATTTTCTTGCATGTTTCAATTTCTTGATGGCAGCTGTGTATGTGTATCAGTGATGGTGTATAATATGGATATTATTTCTAATCTTGTATTCCAGGAAAATATTTTTCTTGCATGTATGTTTTAATTTGATGAAGGCTATGTGTATCTGTCTCAGTGAATGTGTATATTATTGGATCAGTAGGTGATTTTGATTCTTTCTAATCTTTATTCCAGTAAAACTTGATCTTGATTATGCACAATCAAAAGCACTTTGGGATTCTACAATCAAAAAAAATGTGGAAGTGATGAGGAATCTTGAGCAAGCTACGAGCAAACCAGCTGGAACATCCACTGAAGTTGAAACACAAGCTCATCAGAGAACTTTGGAACAGGCGCAAATATGGACTCCGGTCCTGGAATTGAACTGGAGTAGGGTGCAAAGGTCTATTGAAGCCGTTGTTGGCGTTCAGCCTCCGCCTCCTGCTGACGTTCAACCTCCGGCTCTTGCTCAAGTTCGGCCTCCGGCTCGTGCTGAAGATCAACCTGAAGATCAGCTTCCGGCTGCTGCGGAAGATCAATCTGAAGATCATCTCCCTAATATAGAGGGATTTTCTGCTACTGAAGATGTGATTGATGCATTTGATTGTGACGATGTTGAGCATTAGAAGAAGTAACAGATTGACTTCAAAGGCTTCACGAAAACAACATATATATATCTTCAACATTGGAATATAATGGAGGTGTAAATTAAATGTAAGTCCTAATCTTTGCACAGACAAAGTATTCTGTAAGTACTAAACAAGGATTGCCATATATACACTTTATTGCTCAGCTCTATCATTGAGAGTTATGTTCAATTCCATAATTACATCTCCATGTGTAATTAGATCAGTGTCTAGTCATGATTCTCTATGTGTCTAATTGTCTAAATTCTTTATTTTTATTTGGACTTGATTTCATTTTTGGTCCTAGCTAGCTAGATTAATTTATATATAGGTGGCTGTCCATTATATTTTTGGGGTCAAATTTTGCCTTTTTTCGGATGGTTAGAATGATATTTTCTTTTGAATTTATTTTTCTTGAAAACCCAAACACGAGAAAACCATAAAAATCACCTTTCAAAGTCAATTTTAGATTTTTAAACTCATCCTTATATAATTAAAGGCAATTAAATTAGACATAATAGTAGTAAATTATAAATCAATTTCAATGAATTAGATCAAGTATATATAATTAGTTACAAATCAATTTCAATAATAGTAATTGTAATTGTAATAGAAATAGTGATGAGTTAGGGAAAAGATTATCAATTGAATAACCGAATTACAGATACATTAATACTCTCAGAGAGAGAGAGCTATCCTCTAGGCTAGAGACTAGATAACTAACAGATTGTTACATGACTAAGTAATAACATAATAATTAATAACATAATACTAACTTAGTCTAATACTCCCTCTCAAGCACAAGGTAGGTGAGGAACCACATTGAGCTTGCCACGCAGAGTAGCAAACTGTGCTGCTGGAAGCGGTTTAGTGAAGATATCTGCTAGCTGATCTTTGGTAGACACAAAATGAACCTGAAGCTCGCCAACCGAGACCTTGTCCCGAACAAAGTGATAGTCAACCTCGACGTGTTTGGTGCGAGCATGGAACACCGGATTTGCACACAGGTATGTCGCTCCTAGATTATCACACCATAGCGTGGGCGTAGAAATCGGCCCCAAGCCAAGCTCCCGTAACAAGGACACAACCCAGGTAACTTCAGCACATACATCGGCAAGGCCCTTATATTCTGCCTCAGTCGAAGAGCGTGCAACGGTGCGCTGTTTCCGAGAGACCCATGACACAAGATTTTTACCAAAAAATACTGCATACCCACTAGTAGACTTGTGGTCAACAGGACAGCCAGCCCAATCTGAATCGGAGTATGCATGAATGTCCGAATTTTCTGAAGCCGCAATGCATAGACCATATTCCAGGGTTCCTTTAATATAACGAAGTACTCGCTTGAGCAGACCCCAGTGCTCGTCAGTGGGCGAGTGCATGAATTGATAGAGGCGGTTGACAGAGTAAGAAAGATCCGGCCGAGTAATGGTGAGATACTGAAGAGCCCCGGCTAACCGACGGTATTGGGTCGGATTATCAAAAGAGCCAGTAGCTTGACATACAGGCTGAGTCACGGAAGCAGGAGTGGCCAGCGCCTTGCAATCTGTTATGCCGGCTCGCTGTAGAATATCCCGCATATAACGTCGCTGTGAAAGCCTCATACCGCCCGAGACAGGTATGGTCTCTATGCCGAGAAAGAATGTTGGTTGCCCTAGATCTCAAATCTTGAAGGCCGTCGCCAGTTGCCCTAACACGGAGTCAACTAAGGCTGTGTCGCTCCCAAGCATGATGATGTCGTCCACGTACACGAGTAGGAATACTCGAGCACCAGCAGCAGAGTAGTGAAACAAAGAAACATCTGTTTTGGAAGCAACAAACCCTGTCAGAATCAAGAAATCATGTAAGCGTTTGAACCAGGCACGGGGAGCCTGTTTCAACCCATACAGGGAACGCTGTAAGTGACAGACATGATCGGGATGATCGGGATCCTCATAGCCTGGTGGTTGCCGCTTGTATACCGTCTCAGCCAAATGCCCATTTAGAAAGGCATTGTGAACATCCAACTGTCGAAGTGTCCACCCTTGAGAAATTGCTAAAGCAAGCAGTAACCGAACCATAGTTGGTTTAACTACTGGGCTGAATGTCTCAAAGAAGTCCTCGCCGGCTACTTGATTGTAGCCTTTGGCGACTAGACGGGCCTTATACCGCTCCACCGTGCCATCAGCTTTCCGCTTGGTGCGAAAAACCCATTTACACCCTACGACGTTCATCCCCGGAGTGGCGGGAACAAGCGTCCATGTGTTGTTATGTAGTAACGCGTTGAACTCTTGGTCCATTGCGTCTCGCCATTGTGGATGGCCCACCGCTTGAGAGTAGCAAGATGGATCATCCGTGGACGCGGTTAGAGCATGAAACTGCTCTCCAGTCCCTTGTGTCATACGTCTGAGTCGCATAACATGAGCCCGCTCCTGAGGTTGGGCACGACGAACCCGTCTTCTGACCACGGGAGGTTAAGCTGGAGCTGGAGCTGGACCTACAACAGGACAATGAGTAGTGACCAAAGTTTCATTAGTGCTATTGTGATGTAAAACGGGACTAGACCCACATGGTAAGCTGGGTGCGGTCTCACATAGTCCAGACTGCATGGGGCTCTTGGTTGCAAAAGGGAAATGACTTTCATCGAAGCGGACATGGCGACAGATGTAAGTTTTCCCGGTGTTTAGGTCCATGCAGCAGTAACCCCTAAAGGATGGTGGGTAACCTAAGAAGACACACGGACTGGACCGATACTCGATTTTATGACGGCTGTATGGACGCAGGTATGGGAAACAAAGACACCCGAATACACGTAGGTATGTGTAAGTGGGTGGAGATTGATGTAAACGGTAATAGGGTGTATCAAACTGGAGTGAGGATGACGGTAACCGATTTATTAAATAAGTTGTTGTTTCAAAAGCGTGATCCCAGTATCTTTGTAGAACAGAGGCTTGAGCCATCATGGCGAGCCCGGTCTCGACAATATGCTGATGCCGGCGTTCGACACGACCGTTTTGTTCATGTGTATAGGCACATGATTGTCTGTGTACGATCCCTAAGGAGGTAAATAGTTTGTGTAATTTTTGATATTCCCCCCCCCCCCCCCCCCCCCCCCCCAAATCAGACTGAATGGACTTGATAGAACGTGAAAACGTATGTTCTACCGTCGCCCGAAAAACACCGAAAATTTTATATATATCGGTTTTGAGTCGTAGCAGATAATACCAACAATAACGGGTATTATCATCTACGAAGAGTACAAAGTAACGAGAGCCATCCGCAGAAAGAACAGGTGCGGGACCCCAAATATCGGTATAGATAAGATCTAAAATATTATTGCTAGATTTATCGACCCTATCTAACGGGAATCTTGAGGATTTCCCGAGTTGACAAGAAGGACATAAACCAAGAGATACATTTTTATTTAAATCAACCGGGCATTCCCGTAAGACACGTTTAAGCGCTTGTTCGTGAGGATGACCGAGACGCAGGTGCCATACTGTGGATGAAGCACGGGCAGAAACAAACGCATGATAAGGATTCGGAACTGACAGTGAGTACAATCCCCCCGAGCTCGGCCCTTTAAGAGGAACCGCCTGTGTGATTGAATCCTTCACAACAAAAAAATCAGGATGAAATTCAAAGTAACAGTTATTATCTTTTGTAAACCGATTTACAGATAATAAAGAAACTGACAACTCGGGGACATGTAAAACACTAGATAATTTTAACGGCTTAATGACCGAAGGAATTACTGCATGACCCACACTCGAGATTTTCAAACCTGTGCCATTACCCACTCTCAGAACATCATCTCCGTGATATTCGTCGGCTTGCGAGACCACACCGGAATCCGGCGTAGCGTGTGTGGAAGCACCCGTGTCCGGCAGCCAAGAGGTGACTGCCGATGCCAAGCCGCCACTGCCAGCATCTCCGGCGACCGCTACATGCGCCGATGGTGGTGGCTCGGAGTACCTCTTGTAGCAGAAAGTTGCCGAGTGGCCCTGCTTGTCGCAAATCTGGCAACGCAGGCCACTGTTTCGGCCACGACCACCGCACTTGCCTCGCTGGTTGCCGCGATTCTGTCCGCCGCGACCACCTCCATCGCGATTCTGTCCGCGGCCTCCAGTTCCGTAATGCCGGCCTCCTCTGCCGGCATATAAAGCCGTCGACGATGTAGGTGCATAAGCGGGAAAGTCATCCGCATGGATGAACTGCTGTGCCTGCAAATAATCCGCCAATTGCGGAATCGTCACCGGTGTACCGTTGACTGCCAGGGAGGCTACCATAGACCGGAATTCCAGTCGCAACCCCCTAAAAACATACAAATTTTGCTCCGTTAGCGTGAGTGGTTGCCCAGCGAGTGCGAGATCCTCCACTAAATGTTGAGCACGGTCGAGATACTCCAAGGTTGAGCTATCTCCTTGACGCAACGCTTGAAACTGCCCCATGAGATTGAGGCAACGGACCTGCGACGAGGACCCGAGGGCTGTCTCTGCCGCAAGCCACACCGACTAGGAGGTCGTCTGTCCGAGAGTGAGGTACATCACCTCCTCCGAGATTGATGATATGAGCAAGGATAGGATGGAGGCATCCTGCTCAATCCATGCTTCGTGTTCTGGATTCGGGACCACGGACGCCATGCCGGCCTGATCGCCGGCCGAGAGCTCGAGTACGGGAGAGGGACATGGCCGGGAGTCGTCGATGAAGCCCAGCAACCTCTGCCCGCGTAGAAACGGAATTATTTGCGTCCTCCAGCAGAGACAGTTCCGATGTGTCAATTTTAACGACACAAAGTGATGCGCACTAGGGAGGGAGTTTGGGTGGGTGTTTGGGGAGGAGATGGTGGCGGTTGTGTGCGTTCTTTCGGAGCTAGACGACATTGTCGATCGGAAAGGGAGGAGAGAGAAAACAAAAGACAATGATCGTTAGATTTCTACTGGCTAACTGATACCAGATGAGTTAGGGAAAAGATTATCAATTGAATAACAGAATTACATATACATTAATACTCTCAGAGAGAGAGAGAGAGAGAGTTATCCTCTAGGCTAGAGACTAGATAACTAACAGATTGTTACATGACTAAGTAATAACATAATAATTAATAACATAATACTAACTTTGTCTAATAGTGAAGTTTATTTTTTATGCTTGGATGAGTTTTCTGGGGTTATTTTATCAAATTTAATTAAAGTGTTTTTTGCATGAGTAATTATTTACAAATAATGCTTATTTTTTTTTTAAAGTTTTGATGAAATTTGTTTTATAATATCTACTTTACCCAAAATAAAAAAATAAAAAAAAAATAGACATTTTTGTTACAAATGATGACTTGCTATTTAGAAATTATGTTAAAAGTAATATTAAATATTAAAGAATATAATACTACTGGTTGGAAATGTTGGTTTTGTAATTGAAGATTAGCACTTGGAAGTGCTTGGTGGTTGGGTTGGATGATTCATGAGGACAAATTCTGAAAAAATGTTTGATCTTGTGTGCTTTTTCGTATTTCTTACTAACATTATTTTAATGTATGTATTTTACTCCACTTAATGTTAAAATTTTTGCAATTTCTTTATGTTTTTTTTTTTTTTTTTTTGTAATACATTTTTTTGGGTTACTGAAAAAATATTACTCCTCGAAGATAATTGACTGATGCTGGATTGTTAAGCAAGATTTTTATTCTTTAAAATATACAATACTTTGATTGATTATCCAAATATATAAAAATTAAATAATTACTCTTACTATTAAATGTGTCTAAGTCAAGAGTCATTTATTACCTTATTCCTATAACATTATTGAGAGAGAGAGAGAAAAAAAGAGAATTATTTCTTCTATATAAGTATAGAACTTAAAATTAATAAGATAGTCATACATGTATATTAAAGAAATATTTATTACTAAATATTTGTTTTATTTCTTGGTGAAATCTGTTCGGTATCTCGTTGGTAAACCGAATAATAATCCCACAAAAATAAGGATTATTATTTTCTGTAAGAAAAGGGAAGGAAAGATGAAAAGATTGGCTTCGTGTTTGGTGTAGGGTTTTTAGCAAGAGTCAAGTGATCACTCTTTCCTTAAAACCTTATTTGCTACCCCACAAGTGCTAGGAGCGTTGTAACCTAGGCTTCCCATGATAAAACTTGCTATGATTCAATGTTTGAGCACAAAAACAAAGAATTCGGCGAACTAGAGCAAGATTATGAACACAATATGTCTAAGAAAGAGTAGAAGCAGAGAGTTTTGAGGCTGAAAATTATACTTTCATGTTGTGTGTAAATTTTCTGCAGCCCAACTCTTTCTTATATAGGGATTGAGGAGTTGAATAGCTTTTAAATTTAGGCATTTAAAGGGACCCCTACAACTCCTATAACAGCAACCATTAACATGGATTTTAATTCAAAATTTAAAATTGGAATTAATTTAAAGTATTAACTCCGTAACAGCTGAATTAAATCCCAACAGTCACAAACAGTAGCTTCTGTTTGGCCATGACAAGGCCGAAACCACCACTTTCGGCCAGCATGTTTTGTTTCGGCCAAGGTGAAATCATTTCACCAACCAAGAAACAATATGTATTTACAAATAATGCTTAAATTTATTATGTTTTGATGCAATTTGTTTTATAATATCTACTTTACCCAAAAAAAAAAAATAGAGATTTTTGTTTCAAATGACCTGCTATTTAGAAATTACGTTAAAAGTAATATTAAATATTAAAAAATTTAAAAATTATAATAAAAGAAGCAAAGAAAAACATTATTTGAGTAATAAGTAATGAACATGACAAGTAAAATGCGATAGGAAAAAGTAATAAACAAAAAGAGAAAAAAAAATAATGAAGCATTCTCATATATATATATATATATATATATATATATATATATATATATAATCTTTAAATTTTGAATCAAGTGTTACCTACTAGACCAATTTTCCTCAACTCTTCAAAAAATCTTTAAATTTTGAATGCTAGCTCTTTGACTGCCTAGATCATTGGTTGGCAGTGTATGTATTTTACTCTACTTAATGTTAAAAATTTTACAATTTCGTTGTGTTTTTTCTTCTTTTTTTTAGGTTACTGAAAAAATATTACTCCTGAAAGATAATTGACTGCTAGATTGTTAAGCAAAGTTGGCTCTATTACAATGTAGTATGTTTATATACTTTCTCAACCTACTAAAACACAAAAAACCAATAACACCTCCACTGGGATTCAAACTCACAACATTCCAAATGAAAATCCAACCCAGGTACCATTAGACCACATAATCTTGGTTGTTAAGCAAAGTTTTTATTCTTTAAAATATATAACACTTTGAGTGATTACCCAAATATATAAAAATTAAATATTTATTACTCCTACTACTAAATGTGTCTAAGTCAAGAGTCATTTATTACCTTATTCCTATAACATTATTGAGAGAGAAAAAATAAAATAATTTCTTCTATACAAGTATAGAACTTAAAATTAATAAGATACTCATACATGTAGATTAAAGAAATATTTATTACTATATATTTGTTTTATTTCTTGGTGAAATCAACAATAATATTGCCATCGAGACTGAAAGCTGAGTGCCTCAAATACCTCAACTTTTCCCAGTGTATACCATTTGAAAGGTGGACATTTTTAATCTTTATTATTATTCATTAGCCATTATTATTGCTTTGTTACTATCATTCCTTTGTATTATATAAACATGGTCCTCCCCAAGTACCATGTAGTGTGATGCCATGGCATCCCGATTATCCATCGAAGTGGATGATCAAAGGTTTGAACCTCCGTTAGAGTAAACCTGACCAAAAAATAACAAAACAAAAATAAAAAGAAAAAATATTTGATTAGCCCAAATAGATAAGTCGTATAATAATCTGATAAAACTAACTAAAATATTTACCAAGAAATATAATCTTTGTGGAATTATGGAAAGATATTCCAGGAAAAAAACATAACATTCTTCCAAAAGGTTGAACCCCAACCCTAAGGGTCTCCACACCCCGGCCTAACAGAGCATTTGGGAGGAACCACAGAGACTAGACCGGTGCTAAGGGTCTCCACACCCCGGCCTAACAGAGCATTTGGGAGGAACCACAGAGACTAGACCGGTGCTCACTGCGCACAAGGAACCCCCTCACTTTGAGAGGTTGCTCCCACACTGCCGCTGGTGAGACTCGATCCCTGGTCATTCTTTCAAAATTTCACCTCTATGATCAATTGAGCTACCCATGCCGGCGAAAAAAACATAACATGAGATTATGGGTAGTTGGGTACGGAGTTACGTGGTAATAGTCATACACGAATAATTGTAGAAGCAACAGAGATTATTCAACGAAATTTAAGGTGTTTTTTAAACCTTTTTTTTTTTTTTTGAGAGGTGTTTTTAAAAAAAAAAAAAAAAAAAAAAAAACTTTTTTGTTAAGAAAAGTCCATTTAATTACTATGTTTTTTAATAAGAAAAAAAAAATACATGGTTCCTCAAAAACAAATACATGGTGCATAGATCTCAGGATGTGTTTGGTTGACAGGTTTAACTCTAAAGAATGTGGATCAAAGTGATTGGTATTGTTTGGTTGATAGGTTTCAGAACACTACTATGAGTTTTAAATACCCTTTAATTGAAAAACTCATACCCAAATAAAATAAGGGTATCATTCCCTTTCATTCCCTTATTCATTCTCATCCCCTTTGATTATTGCTTTTAGATTTTTATTTTTATTTTTTTGTTCATATTGATGTTTTGAATGTCTTTATATTATAATCAATTGTTTTGATTTTGCATTCTTGTATTTTTAAAATCTGTATTCCCATTATTGAATCATGCATAACCAAATAGCATTATTGATAATCATTCACATTACATCTTACTACCAAACATGCAAAATACTTTCACTAAAACCCATTACTATTACCAATACCAAGTATTTGATACACATTCCGATTCCGATTCCGATTCCCATGTGCGAACCAAACACACCCTTACTATAACAAATACTATACATGTTTAGAATATAATAGATCTCTCCCAACCTCATATAATATACCTCTCCCAAAGCACATGAAGACTAGAATCTGACCAGTAGGCTTATTGCGTGACACACAATTTACCTCTGCCGTGCCTCGGGGACAGGATCTGTGAACTTAGGATTAATCCGGCGGAACTGGGATCACCAATAGGTAGCTCTACAGAAGTCAAACTTTATTACATGTTAAGCATATAATATATCTATCCTAACCTCGTCCTAACGAGTTTTACATCATAAAATTAAATCAATACTTATTTATGAATTTGTGGGACTTGACAAGTTCCAGCAAAAAACATAAACATGAAATGTTGGGGAAGGAGTTACAAATATTTGTAGAAGTATCAAGCATTGTTCAAGGAAATTTAAGGAATTTGTAACTTGAAAGAAAAAAAAAAAAAAAAAAAAAAAAAAAAAAAAAAAA